TCAGCAGGACTTTGGCAGCATAACTGTACAGGATTGCCGCTGTTCAGTTCCCCTCAGAACCATATATATCCACATGCATAGAAGGTTGTGGACCATTTTTTAATACTTATTTTGTATACTTGTAAATAAGAGTTGCTTTGCAAAAAAAAGAAAAAGGACTCCCAACAATTTTTTAATGTATTTAATGTTGCTTGGTTTGTCGTGTCAAACGCTAACTTTATATATTTATACAACGTGGATTCTGAGAATGTTTGCAACAGTATTCTAAATAAAGATCCTTATTTATAAAACTGCTGGAGATATTCTGACTTTGGCTCTGGATTCTAGTGTTGCATTCAGTACAGTGTTAGCAAAATGCCTCTCCATTTAGCTGTGTTGTATGTGCTTAGTTTCTTATAAATTTGGAGTCTGCAACCTCACATAGTCATAAAGTAGGTAAGGGAGAAACATACGTGCAGGCGTAGCATATATTTTAAATATTTTACATAGTCATTAGGTAAGGGAGAAGCATATGTGCAGGCGTAGCATATATTTTAAATATTTTGATCGCAGCCAGTCAGCTGAGAGAATAGGCAATCTGTGAATTTTGATTAGAAAACTGTCCCGCCAGTTCCACTGGGTGATTAGTTGCGGTCCAAATCATTTGGCTACACACGTGCTTCGCTCCCATTCATACCATGTCTCTGTAGTAATGCAGCCCAAGTCAATTGTTTTGTTTTTCCACTGCACTGGGAACCCTGGATTGGATCTAGCCAAGTTTTTAACTCATTCTTAGCCAGTCCTCCTCCTCATAACAGTTCCCACATAGCTTTCGCACATGGAGGTCCCATTATTACCAGCATAGCTTTTTGGGTATGTGGTCAAACTGGAACCCCTCCATTTTTCACCAGTGGAAGTTGGTTGGATCCAGACCCCTTATTTTTCTTTTTGGCAGACATCAGTAAATGAAACTTAATCCAATACATGTTTACGCTAACGCAGGGCTATTTTGGGCAGGAACGCACGGGAACGGCGTTCCGGCTTGCTCCTAAGTTGGCCACGCCCAGCAGGAACTCATTAGCATAACAGGCCACACCCAACAGCAGGAACTCATTAGGATTGGCTACATTAGGGGTGTGTGGCCTAACATGCAAAGGAGTTCCTGCTACAAAAAAGCCCTGGGTTTTGACAACAAACAAGGTAAACAGAATAAGAAGGGAAAGGTGGGTGTAGCCGGATAACCATACTTCTGGTGACATGGGGGCGCGGCCTAATGTGCTAATGAGCTGTGCTGTCAGGGGTGTGGCCCAATATGCTAATGAGTTCCTGCTGTTGGGTGTGGCCTATTATGCTAATGAGTTCCTGCTGGGCTTTTTCTACAAAAGGAGCCCTGCTCTAATGCAAGTTCCACTTTGTTCAATAGGATTCCTTAAGATTGCAACCATGCGGCTTGACCTTCTCAAGTATAACTTTAGTGAGAATGGCACTCAGTGCACTTAGGAAAGCTGCCTTAGTCATAAATATTTATATTTATCACTGCAAGCACAGACAACCATTTGCTCCAAAGAGCTGATAGTGTAAGGGCTGTGTCTGTACTAGGTACACCCACAAGAGTCATCAGCTGGATGAACAACCAAAGTCTGCTTTTTTTGCACTGTTCTTCGGTTACATGGTGGAAGGGAAGGTGGCCATCTATTGAACTAATGGATGGCTGCATCTTGGTCCAGAAGGGAGCTGGCATGAGGTTGCTCTCTATCACAGTCTTTTAATACATACATTTTGATTTCAGCAGAAGCAAACATTTCCCAATACTCAACATTTGTCGACTCCTTCGAATTTTGAATGTGAACACTAAAATTTAAAATTCAAACGTGTCATTTGAGAAATGTTAAACGCTTTAGATTTACTGGTAAGTGTTGGTTTGCTAGGTATTAAATCCCGAAACTCACAAGATAACACCACACATCAAATGCTTCAAATATAAAATATTGACATCAAGGCCCCGGTCACACGGGAGGATTTGCCCTGCGAAACGAACGAGTTGAGGGTGGATGAAACCGCCTCAATCAGATGCCAACATCTGGCAAGCGTCGCACACCCGCCCCCAACCCGTCCCTTCCGGCCAAAGATGCGGATCTAAAAGAGAGTAGTGAAAGGGCATTACCTACTGGATGACGCGCAGCAATGGTGACCGTGGGATCGCCGACGCGCGGTTATCCTGTGGTATGCGTGGTAATGGCGAACTGCGCATGTGCACAACTGCTGCGGCTGGCCCTCCTCGCCCTTCTTAGAGTCGCTTTCCCTGCAGCATGTGATCGCGGCTGCCGGCAGAAGCGCAGAGCCTCGGGGGACCTGTCTGATCCCGCTGCCACGCTTCTGCTTGCTCCGGCTCTAAAAAGCCGCACTTCTGCCGCGGCTTTTCCCGCTAGTGTGACCGGGGCCCAAGTATAATTGGAAACAGGTATCAAATATTAAGAAATGATTCAGAAAAAAAAATTTCAGAGGATAGCTGGAGGGTCCTGGGTGTCAAAATTCACAGAGGAGATTTTGAGCAGGGGGGTCGTTTCAGCTCTGTTTCGCGTGCTTGGTGGTTCATTCTGCAGTTACAGGGAGATGGGTTCAGGTCATTGGTAACCAATAGCATGACATTTTGAGCATGCTCTCTTCCAAATGTGGCGGATGCCTGACAAAGCCACTCAGTCAAGTCTCCATTCAGCACACTTCCAATGCAATCCTACACAGAATTACACCATTCTAAACCCGCTGAGTGTTTAGGATTGCACTGTCAGCTTAATTCTGTCACGCCATGCTTGCTTTGTGGAGCACAGTCATGTGCACTCTACATTTCACAACATTCTGCTCAAGTGGAGAACGAACTGTTCTAGATGTCTCTTGTCAGGATTGATCATCATACAGGCTTGCTCTTAGGGAGCCATGGACTTCTCATTAGTATTCCAGTATCAGGCCATTCAAGGAGCTGCGGTGGCTCAAGTGGTTAAGACGCTGAACTGCAGGCTGTGGAAGGTCAGTAGTTCAGCAGTTCGAGAGCCGAGTGTGCTGCATGACGGAGTGAGTTCCCATCTCTAGTTCCAGCTCCTGCCAACCTAGCAGTTTGAAAGCAAGACATTGCAAGTAGATAAATAGGTACCGCTTCGGTTGTAAGGTAACAGCGTTCCGTGCGCCTTGGTGTCTAGTCATGCCGGCCACATGACCACAGAAATGTCTTCGGACAGCGCTGGCTCTTCGGCTTTGAAACGGAGATGAGCACCGCAACCCTAGAGTCGGATTCGACTGGCTTTCGAGCAAGGGAACCTTTACCTTTTTATCAGGCCATTAATCTCCTAGCAAGGGATACATCCAACAATAGTTCTAGCTTGTTGTGGATATAGTGCTCAACTAAATAAAAAGGACACTAGTTTATGCTGGGGGGGGATTTAGCATATCAAGGATATTCCAATGGTGCCCCCATGTATTTAAGTTGGCGGGGGGGGGAATAGATTGGGAATGCCAAACTTTTAAAATATTTCTTTCTTAAGAGCCAGTTTGGTGTAGTGGTTAAGTGCGCAGACTCTAATCTGGGAGAACCGGGTTTGATTCCCCACTCCTCCATTTGCACCTGGCTGGATGACCTTGGGCAAGCCGCAGCTCTGATAAGAGCTGTTCTTGAAAAAGGGCAGTTTCTGTCAAGAGCTCTCTCAGCCCCACCTACCTCACAGGGTGTCTGTTGTTTGTAAGCCGCTCTGAGACTCCTTTGGGTAGTGAAGGGCGGGGTATAAATCCAATCTTTTCTTCTCCTTTTACCTCACAGGGTGTCTGTTGTGGGGAGGGGAAGGGAAAGGGGTTTGTAAGCCGCTCTGAGACACCTTTCGGTAGTGAAGGGCGAGGTATAAATCCAATCTCTTCTTCTTCTTTTACCTCACAGGGTGTCTGTTGTGGGGAGGGGAAGGGAAAGGAGTTTGTAAGCCGCTCTGAGATACCTTTCGGTAGTGAAGGGCGGGGTAGAAATCCAATCTCTTCTTTTTCTTTTACCTCACAGGGTGTCTGTTGTGGGGAGGGGAAGGGAAAGGAGTTTGTAAGCTGCTCTGAGACACCTTTGGGTAGTGAAGGGCGGGGTATAAATCCAATCTCCTCCTCCTTAAATGTGGACCTATGGTGCCATTCTGAGTATGAACAAGGCTCTGCTGAGATGAACAAAAATGGTATCGGCCTTAGTGGAAAGAGGATTGATTTATTTTTCTACTTCAGTTATACTTCACATTCTCCCCAACGTGTAGACTTTGAGGGTTCAATAACGACACAATACAACAGATTTCTCGAAGCTTACTCATCAGGCTCTCTGTCAGCTCTCTCTCTGTACCAAAACTGTTTTCTGACAGACTGTCAGCAGTGCTTCATTCAGAGCAGGCTCACACACATTTCTCCCCCCTTTCCTGTCCAGTGAAAATGTTACAAACAGTAAAAAGACTCTAAGCTAGAAATCACAGTGTGTTTCACAGAATGTTCCTTCTCATAGCTCATATTATCTTGCCCAAATGTTGCAAAGTTTGGGCTCTCAGTCATTCAGCAGACTCATGCAGACTCAGAAGACCTTGTGCATTTGCCAATCTCCCGGTGAGAACTTGAGAACTCCCGGGCTTGCCTCACGGGAGTCTTTCATTCCCACACCAACGGGTGAGGTAAGTCTGGCTGATAGTGTGTTACTGGCCTAAAGTCACCCTAGGAGCTTCCCTGGCTACGTGGGGGTTGAAATCTGGGTCTTCTAGTCCAACACTCTGACCACAACGCTATGCTCTCTGCGACTGATCATCAAGGTTTTTTGCCGTGACGGTTTGTATGTCTGCCTCCCTTCCTCCCTGTCCATGCCTGTTTCTCTAGCTTACTCTTTCTTCAAGGAGTTCAGTAGAGCATCCATGGATTCCCAGTCCTCAGTTTTATCCTCACAGTATCCCTGTTAGGTGGGCTAGACTGAGAAAATGAAATAAGTTAAACTTGGACCCTGTGAA